GTCTATCGCTGAGCACATCGTTTGACACGGTGCCAACAGCAGGGTCGCTCGTAAACACGTCTAGCCCATTTGAGGACCTAACGATCATGTGCACGTCACACACCCGGTGGCATTCAGCCCAGCCACAGTGAATACCCTTGCTCGTATCGGTCAGTGCGACAGCCGACATCACACGCACATTTACAGCACATATCAAGCACTTAAGTTAAGACACGCAAGCACGCATGTGCTAAGGTTTTTTGATCACCCCAGCGCTATGCTGGGAATCCGTGTACTAGTAATTTGCGTGCATGGGATTCCTGGTCTACTTTTGCACTGGCTCCAAACACGATGCTTAATCAACATCTGCTGTCGCTTGTCACGTTCAGTACATCTGAACGGTTGTTCACAACAGTCAATGGACGTCCCTGCTGTTGGTGGTGGCGTCAACACCGAACGAGCCATGTAACAATTCTCAGATTAGCTCACGCTGATGCCTTCAAGACGAAGCCGCGTCGCATTTCAGCGACGCTTTTTCGCACACATAGTAAGAGACGTCCAGGCTCTCTCAACCGACAAGTCAGCCACGCTCAAAGCGGAATAAATAAGTACGTAGGTGTGTAATAAATAAGGAAACGAACAGCAGGCGGGGCGCCGCGCGCCTAGTCAGATAACAAACCGATGTCGCGGCACACACTCCTGGTTAAAACGACTCGTCCTCGGCCGCGGGCGAGCCGAGCCCGCCGGCGGCGAGTGTCTGCGCTCACTGAGAAAGACGGCGAGTATCCCGCGCGGTTGAGATTACCAGCCTCCGCGCTCGCCACCGTCGTCGTGCGAGCGTTCGCGCGGCGCGTTCGCCACTATCACGTGCCAGCCTGGTCGGCCACCGTCCGCAGAACTGACGACTGTCCGTGGCGGCGGCCCGGTCCCCGACCGCGGCCGGCCACTCAGTTGGGACACTTCACGAACTCGGGGTTGTCGATGCCGGCCGCGAACGACGACGTCTTGCCGCTGAAAGAGCGTACCCGCGAGAAGAGGAAGATGGAGACGATGCAGGCGATGACCAGCACCAGCAGCAGCATGATGAGACCGGCCACGAAGCCAGGCACCGACATGCAGATGTTGTGGCGCCTCTCGCGGGCGTCCAACGACTCGGACACCACCACCGTCTCCTTGTTGGCGTTGAGGTTGAAGGCGACGTCCCCAGGCGCCACCACCTGGATGATGCGTTCCGTCTCGACGTCGGTCATCTCCTGCGCCTCGCGCTTGTAGACATGGCTGGGCGCGTGCCGGCGGCGTCGCGCGCCGGCCCGCTCCGCCTCCGCCTCCGCCTTGGCGGCCGCCTCCTCACCCATCCGGTCCAGCTCCTGCTCGTTAATGGCGCGCGGCTGGCCCGAGATGGCGTACTGGCCCTCGGCCAGCGCCACTCCCGCCCGGTTGACGCCGCTGTAGCCGGAGCTGGGCCGCGGCGGCCGCGGCAGGCGCAGTGAGCCGGGCGCGAGCGGGAACGACACCGGCTGCGGGATGGGTCCACTGGGCCGACCGCCGGCTGGCGGCCGCCGCTGGCCGCCTACCGCCTGCCCGTCGCGGTTCTGCGCGCCCTGCTGCAGCGCCGCGGCGCCGCCGCCGCCCAGCCGGTTGGTGTCGACGCCGTCGTTCTGCGCGTCGACGACGACGGGCTCCTTCTCGCTGCCGGCGCCCTGGTAGTCACCGGCTGGCACGCGCGGGTTGACGTCGTAGTTCTGCGGACCGGGGCCGCCGCACGCCGGCTCCGGGCACTGGTAGCGGCACACCTGGATCACGCACTGGAAGTGCACGTTCATCGAGTCGGGGAACTTGAACGCCTGGAAGTAGGCGTAGGAGACAACCGACGCCGACGAGCCGAAGTTCTTGATCTTCTGGAACTTGGACATGACCTTGGGTCGCGCCACACAGCCGTTGCCGTCGACCAGCTGAATGGGCGCGCGCCGACCGTCATGTGCCACGCAGTTGCGGACCAGCATGTCGAACTTGTTCTCGTCGTCCTTGATGGCCAGCACCATGGTCATAGTCTGACCGATCTTGACGATGCCGGACACTTCCGAAGCCCACGGGCCCTTGCCGACCTGGATCTGCATCCAGCACTGCAGGTTATCGCCGAGGAAGTTGGCCGTGACGGCGTTCAGCATGTCCACCTGGAACGGCTTGAACGTCACCTTCTTCTCGTAGTAGTCGTACCAGGTGCAGCGGAGCTTGCGCGCCTGGTCCCACACCTCCTGCACCAGCGGGTCGTACTGGATGATGATGGTGTTCTCCACGAAGCTGCCGGCCGGGTTCGGCTGGCCGTAGCTGCCCGTCTCTGAGGCGGCCATGCCGCACGAGTTGAGGTAGATCTCGAACTGGGCGTTGAGCGAGCCCGAGCCGGGCTGCATGTGCACGCAGTTACCGTCCGAGTAGTGGCCCTTGCTGAAGATCATGCCGTAGAACGGCCGGTCGAAGTCGACACTGACGCGCATGCTGGCCTTCTCGCACTGCACCTCGATGTTGCGGATCTTGGGCATATCGGGCGCCGGCAGGAGCCACGGGTCGGCGTCGGTGGTGGCCGGGCCGCTGTAGCCAGGCTCCGGCGGCGCGCTGTAGCCGGCGCCCGGCGGCGGCGGCGCCCCTCCGAACGACGGCGGCGGCGGCCCGCCGTAGCTGGGACCGCCGAACCCCGGTCCGTCCAGCACCGGCCCACCGCCGCCGCGGTGCTCGACCGGCAGGTGCGCTGACCCGAGGTCGTCGCACGCCGCGAACTGGAACAGACAGGCGCCGGGTTAGATGGCTCGATCAGACAAGACGGAACGCACCGAGAATGGGCATGCTGTGAATGGCCGATCGATCACGCTTGTCATGCCCATAACTGGGCCACGTTCGAATCGATCCAGTGGAGAGTAAATGTGAATTCCGCCGCAACCGAGGAGCCTTTCAGGAAGGTGTAAACCGATGCATTGCAAGACTTGGGGAAAGTTTATTGGTTGTGTAGCTCGTTCACAAACTCGTATACATCCAGCTCCCACGGGCATGCCGCTCCCACGTGCCTACAGCTGACCACTCTGACAGCCGGTTGGGCCTACGGTGAGAGTCAGCGGAGGTCAGTGTCCGACACCTCTTTCTGTTCCGACTCCCGCAGTTGGTCGAAAGGCTGCCCGTCACGCGGGGGCGAGAGCTGTGTGACTGACTTGTTTTTCGGGCAGACAAAGCACGTGCTGCTCTAGAGAAAGCGAATTTTTGCTCGAGTGGTAATTCAGTGCCAAACCACTCGTTTTTGTGCAGAAGTCGAATGTGTGAGGATTTCTCTTGGGCCTGTTGAGACACAGAGTTGAAAGGCTGTTGGAATAGAGCGATGGAGATGTCGGTTGTCGGTATCTGATTGGCTACTGGCCAAAAATAAAAACTACCAGCCCACGTCGCGCTGAATGAAAACTTGGCTCCAGTGTAAGAATTAAAATGTCATGCGTGCAATTCAAACTGAGTGTTCATTCATGATGATTAGATTGTTGCATGATCACTATCAAATGGAGTTTCGTTTCGTGATCACCACATAAGGATTGTAATTACGATTTGAATTGCAATAGTGGAAGGGCGTGTCCTGCGTGCCTCAGCTATCAATGCCAGTTTTTCTGGCTAATAGATAATGAAAGCTTTCCCACACGAACTTGGCCAGGCAATCAGGTTAGTGGTGTACCGTCTACGAACTAGCCTATTTTGAAGCGTCACATGACGAAACACGGCCGACGTTAATGGGAAGTGAAATTGTGGGTATCTGCCAAACTCCCTTGATTGGCTAACAAAATTAAGTGCCAGATAAGTGGGGCGCATTACCATATTTCCTGAACTACGATACGGCTTGCACTGCGCGCACGACACGCTATCTTCTGACAGAAATCGGAACGATCATTGATCACGACGCGACAGACGATCTCGATGCTCGCGAAGCGCGAGAATGCTAGGACCATTAGCAGCGCAGCTGGTTACCGGAGACACGTGTGTGCCGCCAGCAGGCATCCCGCGTTTTCTCGGACTGCAGGCCGCCACTGGGCCACCATTGTCTCGCCCCCACCCGGCCCGAATCTCGGCCGGCAGCGCGCACCCTCCGCCTGACACGGATGTGCGCCCCCGGAGCTGGGTGTGTGTGTGACATCAATAGGCCTCCAGCGACTTTCGCCACTTTGAATAGCAACCGGAAATGACGTCACGTCTGATGCCATTCATGGATGCCATACATTACTCCGGGAGAGCCGACAGATCGCCTGTCGACGAACTTGACCTGCCCGATCTCACCAGGCGCCGCTAGCGCAAGACAGTGCCCTATCTTGGCGAATCGCGCCTGGCTATCCAGAGTCAGCTGAGGTGCGGGCTTCAGAGTGGCATTGAGGTCGGCGTCGCCACTGCCACTCCTCTCCGACAGCCAGTTTTTGAGCCCGCGCGATCAGGAGGCGCCGCGCCCACACCGAGGCCCGATGCGGCGCCCCGTCCTCCTTACGTCAAACGGGCTTCTTGATATCGTTGACCCCGTCTCCGGCGATGAATAAGCCATGTCTGGCGCCTGGCCGGCCTCGGCTCTCGTCTGACGCGAGCCGGGCCCGGTCGGACCGGCGGCCGTGCCCGAGCGGTCGGGTGCCGTACGCGGGCGCTCCGTCCCGACGGTCACGCGGCCGGCGTGCGTGAGATCTGGGCCGTGCCAGGCGTGCCGGCCGCCGCCCATTATAGCCGCTGCTGGAGGGAGGCGGGCCAAGCGACGCCGCGCGCACGCTCTGCTGGAGGCGCGGCGCCTCTGCCGGCCGGATACGCGCCTCGTGGAGGAAAGGGTGGTGGGAAGCGGTGAAGGAGGAAGCAGTGTGCCCGGCTGTGTAGGTGTGACGTGGTAGTGTGTTGTTCTAGACCTGCTGAAACACATCTCATACCATACGGTGACGATTGATCCATGAGCGGAATGGTGCTAGTATCTAACTGTTTAGGACAATGCATGTTTTAGAGTAAATTGGTATATTTAGATATCAATAGCGTGTCAACAGCGTGCGGGCTGCTCAAAAGTAGCCCACACGCATTTTCGTTGATTGACGCCTGCGTAGTGATGACTTTTCTACTCAGTACTCAATAACAGCAACCATTAGCGCACGGGATGCTCCAAAACCGCGGTCACATTCCCACAGTTCACCTACTTACCTAATATTCATCGGTACTATGCCGCTGATCCATTGCAAATGACGGCACCACGCAACCACATTTTCTCGTGTGAAAATATCCCACGCAGTTCATGAATGAAAACATACCCCACCGGGCTGGAGGAGAATTTGCCCTGCAGCTGTGGCTGGTTGTTGGGCATTGTCCTCTTGGATGCACCAGTTCAGGGCTCTGGTCTCATCTTACAATACCCTTCTCAAATGGTCGATTTTAGGTTCACTCACGAGGGAAATAATTTGCCCATCGAACCTTAATCACTTTTAAATATGCTTCGTTGCATATGCGCCTCGTATCTAAGCATGACAGCCCTTTTTAGTAACCGTGTATCTGTGACCCAAATGCGTATTCACTTATGAGCCTCGGGGAAATTCCGGCGTCGTTCCAATAATTACACAATATTCCATTCCAGCATGACACCGTTCATCACCATCGCATCAGATGGCGTGACCTCATTCCTGGCCACACGCTTCTGCCAACATCTCACCTGGAGCAGCAGAAGAACGCTGGCTGGCAGGAAGAAGTTTCCCATGTTGGTGGTCTAGTCTGCAAAACAGACCGCAACCGGTTAGTTATCACGCGCGAGGCCTCCTCAAGTCAAGAAAACGAAGCCGTGGACTGACTGATAGCGTGACGTGGGATGGGTAGGACTGATGTGATTACAATATGTATGTCGAGCGCCGCAGGGCCGCTGCTCTTCGGACCCGTCACGGCGAGAAGTGCATCGAAGAACAAGCACGTAGCGGCGACCGCGATGCGGCACATGTGCATAACCTGAAGAAGGGGTATGGTTCTCCGGCTCGATGCCCCGCTAGACATTCCTCACCCGTCGTTATGCTGAGCGGGGAAATTACCAAACCCCAGCCCGCTTTTCACAACCCATTTGGTTGTCTGCTCAACTGTATTCACCAGGCGGGTTCGCTTTACCGCACAAGCGTGCTAGCCTACGTAAACCGGATGTGATCCATGGAACCAAATATCACCCGGGGTGCACACCTCAGACCCATTTTCTGTCAGAATTCGCCAAGGTAATTGGCATCCGACAGCTCACCACCCCGGAAGCACAGCTGCTAGACACGTGGTCCAAATACCGGGCAAATAGTGCGGCGTTATAGGTCACGCCGCGGCAAACAAAGCGCGTGCGCGTCGGCCCCGTGACGGCAGCAGCCGGCGGCCCCACGTGCTGGGGCGGCGGGCCCCGGGGCGCGAGCGCTGTACGGGCCGGGACGAGCCCGGACATGCGCCGACTGGCGCCCGGGGCGACTGTTTGTCTGCCGACAGGCGGCGCGGCCGCGTGGGCCGTTATCCGGCGCGGCGGGAGAAGCCGGCCACCGGCCGCCGGCCGCCGGCCGCCGCGCCGCACGAATGGGGTCAGTCGAGCTCGGACGAGCCGGAGTCTGGCCGACGGGAGCCAAGGCCGCGCCGGCGCCGGCGTCGCCCCTCTGCCACCGCTCCCGGCCCGCAGGATTGGGCTGCGGGCCCAGCGTCACCCCTCGGTGAACTCCCCCAGGCCTGAGCGGCTGCGGTGGGGACGCCGACCGGCGCACGCAGGCGGTGGGGCTGCCGGCTGGCAGATCCGGGTTGGAGCAGGTGGGGCAGGACGACGCGCTGAATGAGCCCGCTCTACGGCTGGTGTGTGAGAAACGGACTGTCCCAAGATCCGGGTCCGCGGTACGTTGGAGCTCAGGCGGGAGCGTCGTCTTTTGTGTGGCGATGGCGTATGAAATCCATGACAACAGAAGGCGATTTGAATGCAGATTATGTTCGTATTTAGAGCCGTCCAGTGGCCTTTGTCTGTTAATAACAACCAGCGGCCCTGGCGACGTGGGCATTCGTTGTGTTTCACATGTGCGCAATAGGGCATTCCTACACATCTGTTCAGGCAGAGCTGAGGTTTAAACTAGGTAGCTCAGTTGCCGGCTGAAGCGAGGTGGCTCTCGCATAAATCGCATAAATGCTCACGTAGATTGACAACGAAATGTCATCTTCCACATCCCAATTTAATGGAAATTGGACATCACAGTCTGACTCTGTTTCCACCCACTTCAAATTAGTGCTAAGTGGACAAAGTATTATGACTGGCTGCGGAAGCCTAAATTGGTTTAAAGGCACAGGTGACACAGTTGAGATGAATCAGCGCAAAAATTGTCGACTCTTGGAAGCTGACAGAAACCAATGACTTGCACATCTCTACCGCAACGATCGGAAGTGTTCTGACTTTCATTTACTCGGATGATTAAACATTGTGTAGAGTTTTTCAATGCCTCTGGGGAAGCCCTCAAGCGGACTTTGACAATTTTCACCTTAGTTGTGTTTTCCACTTTTCAAGGCAACAGTTACAGTGGCCGAAGACTCTGCTGTACTGATACTGCCTTTCAAAGCGTACTTTTAGACCCCTTACAAAGCTCGTTTACTGATATCCTTTTAGTTAGATTTGGAGGATAGAAGCTCAGTTTAATAGAGCTCGCTCTCCACTGTCCGTAACGTTTGACAGGCTGACGGTTTCCGTTGTCTCAAGTGCACAACAGACCCCCAGTTTCCACCGTCCGCATTTTTCCCGAACTCCCATCATTGAAGCGTCCAGCGGAGCCCAAACACCTGCCACCGTCCGACGCTCAGCCCTGGTGCAGGGCGACGCGGCTCGAGCCCGCGGCGCCGGCCGCCGGCTCGCCACGGCTCGATCCGGGTCGACCGGTGGCCACGGCTGGCGGTGCGCGCCGCCGCCGCCGCCCAGATGGTGCCGGCGCGGCGGCGGCTGATGGTCGGCGGCGGCGGCGGCCGGCGCTGAGGTCGCGTTCGGTAATGGTGCGGCTTGTTCGCAGCCGACAGCAGGCTCGTGTGCGCCGGACGGCACGGGCCGAGCGCGCCGACTGGTAATGGTGGCTGCTGTTGTCGGGCGCACGGCTGGTAAAGCCATTGGTCTCGCGAGCATGACACACGTCTGTCTGCCACATGCTGTGCGATAGCAAGCCTGGATGCCTCTTCTGGTAAGCTAGAGGCCTGACGAGTCCCGGATAGATCGGCAGCGTTTTTTTTTTTTTTCTATGGAACAAAACATGAAAGTACCACGAAGTTACCACGGAGGTACCATGAAAGTTTCACCAACGTAAACCACACAGGTACCATGAGAGTACTATGGAAGTACCACGAAAGCACCACTTTGAAAGAACCATGACGGCACTACGAAAGTATTACTAAAGTACCCTTAAAGTACTAAGAAACTGTCACAAAAGTTCCACTGAACTAATACCAAAGCATCACGAAAGTGCCGCGGATATACCACAACGTACCACAAAAGTACCACAGTACTTCACTGGAGCATCATGGAAAAAGCATAGGACTTTTACATGGGCCTTCATGGACTTTTTCAATAGGGCATAGTACCGCAACTATCTACTATGAACGCTGCCGTGGGCGATGAACCTTGAGTCAGCTGGTCGCCACACGTTATGCACGGCAGGAAGACCGGTTTGCAAGGTCTGTGCGCTTTCTGTCACGTTTCCTGTCACGGCAGGAAGACCGGTTTGCGAGGTCTGCGGTCTTTACGCCCATGACACCTGTTACGACTGGACGCCTCGGGAAATCCCCTCTCAGGAACAGAAGCATGTTTATATGCAACCCCTCTTCATATGTCATTGAGCGGACCATCTCAAACAGATGTTGAATTTTCCTGTCAGCGGGTGCCGAAATACGATGCGCACGCATGTGAACAAAAAACATCCCGTTGAAAGGCAGTTTCCACTGCGGAAACGTCATGGAAAGGACGCAAGAGATGTGCGGAGGGGGAGTTGCAGCGTTGTTCACATGGTCGACTGTGGCTGCGAATAGACCGCGTCCCGCAGCCACTTTCCGGCGCACAGTCGAAAAATCCCGACCACTGAGTGTTCTTTACACGACGTGGCCACCCAGATTTGGTCTGGCTAGTCTGTTTGCGGTTCAGGATGTTATCAGATCCTGTCATGTGCCTGGCATTTCTGGGCGCGATTCAATTGATCCTCACAACAACGGTTAGAGGTACGGGTCAATCATGATGCGGCGCCGAGAGCTCGGAATCCGGTCTGATCACGGCGTGTGCCCAATCGCACGGCGTCGCTATCCATCAGCTCGTGTATGTGTGTGTGTGTCCGCGTGTCTGTGTGTTTGTGTGTGACCGATAGCGCGGAGGCTGCTGCATCCGGCCACGTGCCCGACATTTACCCGCTGCCCCACATCCAGGGGCACGCATGCCGGGACACCCTCGCTTCCCTGCGCCGCCTGCCGAGCCTCCATGCAGAGGTGCTGACGACGACGTCGCTGCACGAACGGCTGCAACGTGTCTCCGTGTATGTGTCGCGTGGATCACGTGACTGAGCGCCTGGCGCTGCCCCACCAGGGCCTGGCGCTGATCCCCGTTCCCGGTTCTGTCCTTGTTTTTGGAAAGATGAATGCTCGACAGCTTGGGTATTTTACGTTTTGCAAGAGGTTGCGCGATTAAGCTCTTAAGTTGGAAAACAACTCAACATATTGTTATAAGACTCGCGTTTGTCTAAAAAGCTTGTTTTACTTTAATCGGAAGTGGCAACAAACGTTGTGAATCGGGCTTTCATTGGTATTTAGAGTCACACTTGGCTTTTAGGCAAGTGTACGCATTGTAGCTATGCATCTATCACACTAACTCTGCCAATTTGCATTTATCAAAAATCAAAACGATTTCTGGTGGTTTCAAGTCTTTCCGAGATGTCTATGTATTTTCCGAAAAACTGAGCGTAGTGCAGACAATCTTCCAAGGGCAAGGGTACAATGAAGTAAAATGTTTTTAAGGCCGCGGGGGTCTTTTGGTACCCGTGGCAGTTACTGCGAGTTGATTTAAGTGTTCAATGCCATTAATGCTATTTTCCGTGAATTTTATTATTCTAAAAAATATGGTCTGTGGACACTTGCGCTGGCAAAATATATCCAAACAAGACATGATTTGAATCTACAGAAATGGTAGCATGGGATGCTGCGAAATGAGCGTTATTTGTATCTATAATACACAAGGTATGTCTACGGCTGGATCATAAAGCTCCACCTGAACTTTGAGATATATCATATCTCTTTGTAGCAGGCATCCCTCTTGGTCATTGACAATGCACCGAGAACTTGCTCCAGGGCAAAATGTCTGAACGTTTATCAGAAACAGTACAGGCTACATCTGAACGTTCATCGGAAACTGGACAGGCTGCGTCCGGAAGTTTATCGGAAACAGGACAGGCTACGTCTGAACGTTCATCGGAAACTGGACAGGCTGTGTCCGGAAGTTTATCGGAAACAGGACAGGCTGCGTCCGAACGTTCATCGGAAACTGGACAGGCTGCGTCCGGAAGTTCATCGGAAACAGGACAGGCTACGTCTGAACGCTTATCGGAAGCAGGACAGGCTACGCCTGATCGTTTATCGGAAGCAGGACAGGCTACGTCTGAATTTTTGTCGTAAAAAGACAGGCTAACATTAAAAAGGTAAACATGTATGTTACAGAGAGCTGTTCTGCCATAAGAAACTTGGAGCGAATGCTGCAATGACCAACCAATTAAAGCCTGACTTAGACACATAAAAATCGCTTTATCGTAGCCCGGGCATGAAACCTGATGCAATAACAGAACCGACATAAATCAAAAGCATATGTACAGTGGTGGGTGAGTGCAGGTACTGTCTGGTTCCCAGTGACTTGCGCTTACCTAGGCGAGGGAGATCCTTGCAGTAGTCAGAGCACAGAAGCTCACGAATCGATCCTGGTAGCCCGATGTCGATTTACCGCTGCGCATGCGCACTGGTGTCCGATACACCCGCCACCGCCCGATGTCGGCCCAACACTGAGTGGAAGTAGGTTAGTAAGGTGGTTTTATCCGACCGGCCGCTGCAGGTCCGGGTTGGCGGAGGAACTTTCACAAACATTGTGCACTGCTGCAGTGTGAGTGTTATGCCCGACCAAAACATATACGAATGCTTTATAACACAGATAAAAGCATGAAAAGCCATCGGCAGCACCAAAGGTCAGCCGCGAAGAGGTGGAATTCCACCAGCTGTAGGTTTGCACGGTTTGGGTGCACTTTGCTGGCGCGCTATTCCGGACCGGACAACGGCGTCGTGGATGCGCGGTGGCGAAAGTAAAAGCTTTGACCTGGGACCGGAAACCGGACGTGTGGGTGTTGCGCTACCGCGCGCCTATCCCAGTGTCATAATGGGACGACACTGACGTCTCCGGAACGTCCCGCAGGAGTGCCGGATAAATTCTTATTTTCGGGATCAATATGTCAAAATTAGATTGCCCACATAAGCGATGTTCAAACGGATGTTCGGTTTATTTAACAAAATAAGCGCTTTCAATCTATCTGCAAAGTTTTGTTTTGACTATAATGAAATCGTACGAAGTATGCTAGCCTTCAAAATGTTTTAAGAATGGGCTGCACAAGTGGTATGAGTGTCACAAGTTTTACTGATAACCAAAGGAAATGAAATATGCGACGTCGGGACCATTTTGACCAGGGATGTCAGTGTTTGTAGATTAGGGGGGGGGGGGGGCCAAACCGAAGGCCCGACAACCAGGGATGTCAGTGTTTGTAGATTAGGGGGGGGGGGGCCAAACCGAAGGCCCGACAACCAGGGAGGTCAGTGTTTGTAGATTAGGGGGGGCCAAACCGAAGGCCCGACAACCAGGGATGTCAGTGTTTGTAGATTAGGGGGGGGGGGGGCCAAGCCGAAGGCCCGACAACCAGGGATGTCAGTGTTTGTAGATTAGGGGGGGCCAAACCGAAGGCCCGACAACCAGGCATGTCAGTGTTTGTAGATTAGGGGGGGCCAAACCGAAGGCCCGACAACCTCCCTCCCCGCACATTTTTCTCACCAGATTATGCCTACTTTAATTTGCTTAAACTCAATATATGTTTTCAATTTTGGTATAATTCATAAGTATTTAATTTGAGCAGTGTAGAAGTCATGCAGTGTCGGATCCAGGGAGTATGCACTGGACGCACGCGCCTCTTCTGATCGGCACGTGAAGGCGCCCCTTCAGAGGCCACCTTAGGCCGCCGATGGCGCTCTTCTAAGACGGTCATGGGACACGGCACGCACTTTGTTTATGGGGACATGGACGGTTTTAGCCATGAAGGGCTTAGGTCATCCCCATATTCCAGAGCTTTTCACTTCAACATTACAAAGAATTGCGTGTCTAATGGCGCTAGGTATGTGAAGTTTGTTGCAATCGTTTATCCGCTCAGCTGGTACAATTTTTATCTTGTAGTGAGAGCAACCACGAATTTTTGCTATGAGAGTGGTGCGAAACGCCACTACGCAGAAAGATCAAAGAAGATTGTCTTCGTGTTATGATCATCTTTTACCCACGTTTTTTGTAGTATTCCAGCCAAAAACATTATGGGGAGCCAACATGGGGGGCCAAACTCAACATGGGGGGGGGGCAGTGCCCTCACAAAAGAATACAAATCGGCACCCGTGATTTTGACGTGTATCTTAGGCAATTTGCGCGCAAGCATTTATCGACACTCATGTGTCTGTAGTTGCGTTCTGCTAAGATGCCAGGGAAAACTGTCATTTGTCAATCATCAAATCATTTGTCAGTTGTCAAATTTGCCATCTTTCCGCTTCACTGGTCTTTTGCACGGTCAGTTTCACCGCGCAGTTCCAAGATCCTCTCAATGTTCTTGCACTGTACACTGGCATGCTCTAAATCATCTTAAGCCCCAAAATTGGGCTTACTTTCCGTGCTACTAGGCAATCTTGTAATTTTTCGTTGTCGCTGATAACTAACATACAATCGTGAAAGAGCTTAAGGATAGTTCATCTGACCAGATAAGCATAAGTTTTTCGCGAGGATTAATAAGCTCTAAGCATGCTTGAAGGAAACATAGCGCAACTTCTTAGTTTTTTTCCTATTCATTCACGAGAGTCCAAGTGTTACAAACATCAATTGATAGGGTTCCGGCTCCCAAAGACATACAAGGTAACGCCTTGCTTTTTGGCTCATTGGTAGAAAACTCGGTTCTTTTAATAAACCGTTTGCCCGTTGTCGTGGGCGATTCGACTGTGCTTCTAAGATATCCATTCGCAAGATAGATAACCTGAGTTTTATAAACACATTTCATACCAGGTTAATGCTTAAACGTTTTTAGCAAAAGCATGTCGGACTAAAGCATGATTTAATGTAGCGTGCATTGTTAATGGGTAATGAGCATTGTGTAGCGCACTGGTGCTCCCTCATACACGGTGAACTATTGAGGGAGTGACCAAGCGTTTACCTCACTAGTCAGGTGTTGCCTTCATTCGCTCATCGTGTTCGCTCATGATTGTCATTTCTACCCATTTGAAAGCAGAAATAGGTGCCGCGAGATTTCATCACGGTTTGCACCATCTATTCCATTTGTTTACGAGTGATTCGGATCACATTAAATGACATAAGCTGCGCCTAAAATAAGTGTGCGAAGTGTGCGTGTGCGGCACTATAGATAACGACGTATGCTTAGGCAGAAATATGCATACTAGTGGTCTCTTCGTGGCATCGCAGACAAGCGTCCTTAACATTTGCTTTTTATTTCACTGAGTTCCTTTTACAGGGCGCTAACAATAGCTGACTGCATGTGATTGTTCCACTATGCAACAGCTGACGGCCGCCGGATTATCACTTATGTGTCCATCGCACTGCCGCAGCCGCGCTGCGTGTACAAACATCCGGCGTCCTTGGCTAAGTGTCCAGCCCTGTCTGCTCTCCCGGCGCCGGGCGACCCATTTGTCCGAAGTCGGCCGCCGAGCCGGATCAGCCGGCGGCGCGCCGCTTTCGCCGCCGCCCACCGCCTGTATCCGGCAGCGCCTCGCCCCCTCCTCCCTCCGCCGGCCGAGGTGGACGGCCGCGCGCACAACCGGCGCGGCGCAGCTGATCGCCGCCGTGCGGGGCAGCCAACCGCGGTCCGCGTGCAGCACGGCTCCAAATGCGGGGTGGCCCGATCAGAAAGCGACTGCAGCAGACACGGGATTGTGTGCAGCGCGATGAAAGATCTCGTTCCTCACGACTCGGAGCGTGAAGGTCGGAAGGTCGGGCAGTCCCGTCCGTGGTCTGAAAGCCTCTCAAAGCGAGTATGGATCAAGCCTCTTTCTGAAGTCCATTTTTCCATGATCATTGCATGTCCTTACCTGTCATGAATTTTGGAAGTGACATAGCGCCCACTTCACATGGGTCCGGTATCTGGTGCATTGCTGTTCTCATGCTGCACTACCTGGGGCCGCGAGAGAAAGTGGTCAAGCATTAGCAGGGTGTACAGAGCTGTCTCGAAAGATTACAGATAATGGTGGATTGTCCCAGTGTGGTAGTTATGGAAGTCCGGTGTACAGAAGAAAGTCGAGTTACTAGGTTATCTAAGCACCGATAATCGTTGTCAATCGGGGTGACATCTTTTAAATGCTATGGTACGGGTCCCGATGTCATGTCTAATGGTACTGTTCCTGGATGCCAGCTCTGTATCTGTCCTACGGCCAGCACCCTAATGCAATCGCAGAATCTATTGTAATCCATTTTCCTCGATGTATGTAAATGCTCATGCACCTGTCAAGTGATGGTGGCGACGGCATGGCATGCGTCGCGTCCACACACGATGTCAGCTGTACTAAATCGGGTGACAATTGACGAATACATGGGCGCTGACGAATTACGGCACCGTTGTGGGATCGGTAAGCTCTCCCTCGAAGATTTCCTGAACATTTCCATAAGCACTTGCGAACTATGAGATACATCTGACGCTACGCACTGTGCGTAGCTATTACGCAAGCACTTAGATTTGCTGGTTTCTGTCCACTGTTCAAATGGAATGCTCCAGTTGTTTTTGTTTATAATGCTACTAAAGTTTGCTGTTATATGCATGCGCAACCATCTATATCATGTTTGAAATGATTTTTATTGTGCCTCCTGAGCTACAAATATAAGTTTCGTACGGTAAAACAGCGACATTGGCGACATATGAATACGTGGAACCACTCCGAGCAGATTAAACGCTTGGGTAAGTTGAGGTTTATGAATGAAGCGACACATTTTTGCGATGTTGAAAACGTACCCAGCTCACATTGCTTTGTTTCATTGCTTGAAAGTGGGTGCACTCTCCGCCCGCGGAAGTTAATACAAAATCCGTTTTCTTCCGAGAACGTTGGCTCCCATTGGCGACCCAACTGGATGCCAGTGAGGTTGCCGGATTGATAAATGGCCCACGCGTTTATTATATCTGCACTGCGTTTTTAAAAGCAAAGCTGGGTCTTTTTGAGACTGGCTTTGGTAGCAACTAATTTGCAGTAATCTGTGTTACACGGCGACAGACACGATCTGTCGGACGTAGAGGTGCTCTCCCTCTGTTCCCGTCAGCGGCGTGAGTTCGCCCACGCAGGCGGCCGCTAGGTGCTAATGCGCGATGGTGCTTATGTGCGCACCACCGTAACCAGCGCGCCACCGTGGGTACCCCAGTATGCCTACTGTGCTATAGTTCCTGTACGTCATTTGTTGGTTGACAAAACGCTTGCGTCGGCTGGTGGGTATATTGCGAATTTCATTGGATAGCGTCATTTACCTTGACGAAGGTCATTCGTGGACAAGGTAACGTTCAGTGCAACGTTGGAGTTAACGCCACTTCAACTCGCGGAGCCTCTGCGTCTTAAGCCGTCAGGGTCATTCGAGCCAAATGTCCCATCATTCCAAAGTTTTGAAGTAGAGCAAAGCAAAATCATTGCGCTGTTTACAGCTCACCAACACCTATCAGCCTCTTTCAACATATTTTTAATGCAATGCCATCCGAGGACAAGGTCTTGACAGG